TGAGAACTCCTCTACTCCGTGGACGTAGCCAATCTGGGTGAACCACGTACATCTTGTGTTTGCTTCCCTGTCTCTATCCATTTACATACAACCACACTGGTGACCAGAACAATCTAACGAAGGTCATAAACTTAACACTTCTGTTGTACCAAAGTCCTCACTGATTTTGTGCATCAACATGAATGGCAATAAATAGCCTTACAAAGGAAACTGAAAATAAAGCAATGCAGCCCACTTACTAACAGTTTTATTTATGCGGTACACGACTAGAGATTAAAATCAACCTAACAACTTGTCCCTCAAGTATAGGGATTATTAACCACTACTTGTAGCAAACCTAAAAACGAGGAACCTAACTCTAACGGCTAGGATATCCTAACAACTTCAACATCCTCCTTTAAACTGAATACTAACAATAATCAGTTTATACTTGAAAGTAAACAAACACCCATTAACTCCCACAAATTTTAGAACATGTCTAACTTCAAAGGCTTTGTCATTATGTTTGCAACTTGCTTCTGAGTAGAACACTGAGCCAATTCCACGACTTCATCCTTAATGAGATCACGAAGAAAGTGGAAACGAACATCTATATGTTTACTGCAACCATGCATTACTGGGTTCTTTAAGAGCTTTATTGCTGAACTATTATCACAAAAAACAAACGTGGATCTGCATTGTTTATGATTGAGCTGCTGTAAAATCCTTCTTAGCCATACTGCTTAACATGCACTTGAATCTGTAGCAATGAATTTAGCTTCAGTGGTGGATAATGTGACCACATGTTGTTTCTTCGAAGACCATGAGATTGCTCTTGAACTCAGCATAAAAACATACCCTGAAGTACTCTTCATGTTATCTTAATCACCAGCGTAATCACTATCCATGTAACCAATGAGATCTTCATTTCCTCCTTTCTTGTAGAACAACCCAAAATCAATTGTGCCCTTCAAATACCTTAACACCCTCTTTGCTGCCTGCAGATGGAGTTCAGTGGGACGTTCCATATACCTGCTAATTAAACTCACAACGAACATAATGTCAGGTCGTATGGTAGTCAGGTACATAAGACTCCCCACAATTTGTTTGTACATAGTGATGTCAACCATGACCCCATCCTCATCCTTCGTCAGCTTAAAACCAAGAACATTAGGATTATGCACTAGAATGCACTTATCCATGTTGAAACTTTCCAATACTTCCTAAGCATATTTTTGTTGGCCAACATAAATACCTTCTAACCTTTACACCACTTCCATCCCAAGAAAATAACTCATTCTTCCAAGATCAGTCATATCAAATTCAATCATCATAGAACACTTAAACTCTTTTAACATAGACTCATCATTTCCAGAAAAAAAAATAAGATCATCAACATAGAGACGTACAATTAACAGCTTACCTCCATCCATTGTTTTAACGACCAAAATGTGTTCATGTGGGCACTTTTTGAACCACTCCTTAATAAAGTAAGACTCTATATGACTATACTAAGCTCGAGTAGCTTGTTTAAGTCCATATAAGGCCTTCTTAAGCTTGTATACTTTATGTTCTTCCCTTTTTTTTTAATAACATGAAGGTTGTGTAAGAAACACTTCCTCACTTAATTCTCCATGTAAGAACGCTGACTTGACATCTAGCTGATAAACTGACCAACTTTTGTAGGTTGAAAGTGAAAGTATAACTCTCACTGTGTCTAAGCGAGCTACAGGTGCAAATACTTCAGCATAATCCACTCCATAACTGTACCCTTTTGCAACCAAGCAAGCCTTGTATTTTTCCACTTCACCATTCTCATTAAGCTTTGTTTTATAAACCCATTTAACTCTAATCATTTTCCCTCCTGATGGTAGCTTGATCAACTCCCATGTGTTGTTTCTTTCTATGGATTCAATTTCCAAATTCATAGCTTTCCTCCACTTTGCATTCTTTTCAGCTTCTTCATAAGTGATAGGATCACTGTCAACAAGCAAAGCTAAATGAGCCATGTTTTCATCTTCAAAAAGGCCTTCTCCACTCACATATCTCTCATCCATGCCGAATGTCTTCTAACTCGTCCGTCAATGGAAGTGGCTTCATTTGGTGAGTCATGAGAGGAATCTCCTTTTGATAGGTGATTGTTTTCATCTGATTCTTCACTATCTAATGCTTCTTCTTCGATGAGGTTCACATCTGCATCATCTCATGTATCCTCTTTCTCATCTTGAAGGAAAATTTTTTTCCTAACTAAGAACATATGAGAACATATGAACACATATGCAAACTAATAACACATTAAAGTAGGCATGCATTAAAAAAAAATTATAAAACCCATGACTTTCAAAGCCTAGTGAATGGTGAACCACAAGACTCTTTAACAATATTAAAAAGAGGGAAGGATTTAAAGATTCATTACCCTTGAAGCTCATCCTTGTTTACACAAGGGATTCACCCAAGTGGAGGGCCTTCAAGTCACCTCCTAGCTCCTTGGATCTTCATTGGGTTTTTCTTCCTTTTGATGCTCCTTTGCTCCTTGAGGATGTGAGGAAATGATGTCCAAGAACACCAAAGATTTGGTGTCTCTAAGTCTCCACACTAAGGATGAGGTGTGAAGATGAAATGGATGACTTAGAGAAGAAAAGATTGCTAGCTAATTCTTCCCTAAGTGGCCGGCCTCCTTTTAGAAAAAAAAAAAGAGAAGGTGTTTCTCTTCTTTTCTTCAAGAAAACCCTAATGAGAAAAAGCTATAAAGTTGACTTTATACTACATCACATGTGAGTGGCAAACTTGTAATTAATTCAAGTTTGCATCCACTCACCCTTATGGCCGGCCTTGTCTTTGTTATTGGGCTAATTGCCCATTTTGTTTTAGTTGTCATACAACTTAAACATAATGGGCCTTGTGGACCAAAACACTTTTGGGCCCCAAAACCCAACACCAACTTAAAAGCCCAATACGAACCTTTCGTAAAATTAATTAACTAATTAATTAATCTTGACCATTCTCAATTAAACCATTTAATCGCTTATCCATCTCATTTATATTTAATCACTTTCATCCTTACTCGGTGTACGATCCACTAGGTTTCAATTAGCGACGCAGTGGGCAATTGTTACTCTTAACGATCGATTGTGAATTGAAACAACATTTCAATTCTCCCTTTGTTGAAGATTAGTGTTTGCTAATCTTCAGGGCTTCCACAAACCATGAGTGACACCTAGCAGTATGTCATGGCTACCCAAGCTAAGTAGAAGTGGTTGGAGAACCTATCCAGTTACAATTACAATGCAATACGATCCTTCTCTAATACAATACTCTTAATCACATTGTTTGAGTGATAATTTGTTTTATGTCTACTATCCAATGTGATACTTCTTTATATGATTCAATTGAATATGATTTGGAACAAACTTCCTAAGTCATATTCATATGCTTTTGCCAAAGACTCCCGAATCATATCTTAGAGTATTCTCATTCCACCATGGAAGGTTAGAGATCTCTTATTGTGCATTTATATGCCTACATGACTAGATATCTTGACCCCAACAATGCCGTGGACACTCTCGATGGAATGCATTTGACATGATCAAAGATCAAGGACCTAATCCTTAGACATATATGATGCCTCATGTCAAAGGACTACTTTTCATATTGCAACTAACAAGTTCTTACATGACATGTATGTTCGAACTCTTTTTTTATCGTTGTTCAGTGTACTTGATCACCCTTTCAAGCACCTACGTGTTTGTCTTAGTGTCCAACACTAAATGACTTGAGACTAGTCATACTCACACTTGAGTTTACATAACACATACTAACCTTACTGGATTGTCAATGCCCAATTGGCAATCCTATGGCTAGGAACGTTTTAGGAATGAACATAAGAGAAAGGTCTTGTTAATCTAACTTACTTAGATTACTTCTCTCAGATTAAATACTTTCCTTGGATTCCCTTATTGCTTAAACATATGATACAATAAATAGTGATTAACAATAAGCTTTGCCCTTCATTAAACATATAATAGTTTAATACAATAAGTATTCCAAAAGCTATTACATCAAATGAGTGGCTTTGTGGGCATACTTCCAATACATCTTTGGTCCATTCAAGATCAACCATGATCGCTTCCTTGTGTTTCTCACCCCATTCCCAAGCTTTGTCTTCTTCAAATACCACATCCCGACTTACAACTATTTTTTTAGATAGTGGATCAAATAGCCTATAGGCCTTGAATTCTTCACTGACTCTAAGTAAGATGCATTTTGAACTCTTGCTATCGAGCTTAACCCTCTAACTATCAGGGATATGAACATGTGACAAGCATCCAAAAACCCTAAAGTGTTCCACTGATGGTTTGGAACCACTCTAAGCTTCTTCAGGTGTCATGCTCTTTACTGCCAACGTTGGACTTCTGTTGAGTACATGAATGGTCCAATGGACTGCTTTTGGCCAAAAAGTCCTTGGAATTTTCTTCTCTAAAAGCATGCTTTGAATCATATTCATAATGGTTCGATTCTTCCTTTCCACAACCTCATTTTGTTGGGGAGTGTATGTAGATGTTAGCTACCTTTGAATGCCATGTATATTGTAGAAAGTTGTGAACTCCTGTGATGTAAATTGACCCCCACGATTTGTACGTAAGCTCCTTATACATACACCAGTTTCTTTTTCAACCCTAGCCTTGTAACTCTTGAAGGTAGCGAAGGCTTCTGATTTTTCTACCAAAAAAATACACCCATGTCTTTCTACTATAATCATCAATAAAGGTAATGAGGTACCTTTTCTTGCTGTTTGACATACGACTTATTGGCCCACATATATCAGCATGCACGAGCTAAATGATTGTTGATGCCCTACATGTGCTTTCCTTTGGAAATGGGTCTCTTTGTTGTTTCCCTACCAAGCAATCTTCACATACCTTCACATGAGCCTTAAGCTTTCGTAATCATTTCACCATTTTCTTTTGTTGAAGAATTTTCAGACGACTCCAACTTAAGTGTCCGTATCTGCGATGCCAAAGTTATAGTTGGTCTTCTGTCATAGAGATGAGGCATCTTTGCTCCCAAAGTTGTGAACGAGCCAAGATAATGAGCATTCTTTTGGCTGCCATTGCTATCTCCATAATTAGACCCCGCTCAAGATGAAATACTTTGCACTTGTCATGTTGCATGATAATTGTCAGACCTTTTTCTTTTAGCTGTCCAATACTAAGTAAATTATTTTTGAGGTCTGGCATATAGAACAAGTTAGTGATTACTTGCATGATTCCATTCACCTCCATATGCATATTCCTTTTCTCTTGCACATCTAACCTCGAGTTGTTACCCAACTTCACATATTCCCTGAAGTTGTCATTAAACTTCGAGAAGATCTCCTTCTTGCCACGCATGTGATTACTGCAACCCGAGTCCAGAAACCACAATTCATCTATGCCAGCCTCATTGACATCCACATAAGCCATCAACAACATCTCTTCTTTAGTCTCTGCGTAATTGGCTTTTGAATCTTAACCTTTCTTTGGACATTCCCATTGTAAAATGCCCTAGCTCATGGCAGTTATAACACTCTAGGGTAGATTTGTCGAACACACACCTACCCCTTCCTCTTTCTTTTCCTCTGTAACCACCACGTCCGCCTCTTCCTCCTGGATGATTATCATAAGTCACCTTCAGCGCTTGTTCTTCCACAACATGTCTTCCCATCCTTTGTTCATGTACCAGTAAACTACTTTGAAGTTCATCAATGGACAAGATATCCAAGTCATTAGACTCATCAATAGAACACACCACATAATCATATTTAGGTGTCATAGTCTGCAGGATCCTTTCAATGACCACGACATCTCCCATCTGCTCTCCGTGGATCCTTATCTTGTTGGCAATGATGAGGGTTCATGCAAAATACTCATTCACTGATTCACCAACTCTCATGTAGAGTACCTCAAACTCTTTGCTAAGAGTTTGTAGCTGTGCACGCTTAACTCATGTTGTCCCTTGGTACTTTTGCTTCAAAGAGCCTCATATATCTTTTACAATGTCTTTCTTCGTAATTGTCTCCAAAATTGAACAATCAATGGCCTGGAACATATAGTTCTTTGCCTTCAAATCTTTCAGCCTTTGATCATCCACTGTCTTCTTCTGTGCATTAGTGAGATCTGTACCTTCTGCTGCTGCAAGGATCCCAATCTCCACCAACCTCCAATATTCTTTGGAGCACAAGAATTTCTCCATGAGCATGCTCCAGTGATCATAGTGTCCATTGAATCATGGGATTGCAGGTTATATAAAGCTGCTTTCAGTGGCCACGATGTTGCTGCTTCACAATAAAACTAGTTTCTAAGCTTCAAACTTTTGATCAGGCCCCGTGATGGGGCTCTGATACCAGATGTTAGAACCGAGAATGAACACTTGATAAAACTCATGATAAAAGTCTAAATTGTACTCAATAGCTGGGAGAATTTCTGTTATTGAATTGAAGAATACAAATGGCAAGAATACCCTTACAAAGGAAACTGAAAATAAAGCAATGCAGCCCACATACTAACAGTCATATTTACGTGGTACATGACTAGAGATTAAAATCAACTAAACAACTTGTCCCTCAAGAATAGGGATTATTAACCACTACTTGAAGCAAACCTAAAAACAAGGAACCTAACTCTAAAGGCTTGGAAATCCAAACAACCTCAAAACATATGTCCCCACCATGTACTTCGTCAAACCCGGTATTGCTTATATCACCTCAAATTTGGGTACTTATGTTAAGCCACGGTGACCACATTGCCGAACTATTCTCCAGCAAGATCAGTGCCGCCATGCTTTTTTCTCTGGATTTAAGTAGCCGGCGAGACAAAGGTGTTATGCATAACCTTTGGGGCCTGATTGGACTGTCGGTTTTTCTTTGAATATTTTGAGGTGGACTAGTGCCCTCATAACGCAGTAAAGGAGAGAAGGATCACTTCCTAGAGCAGATGATAGCTATAAGAGTGTTTAGGGCTTCCATGGTTTTCAATTGTTTTAGCTATTCCAAGTTTAATGGCGCATCTTACTACCGCGATTTCAACAAATCCGAACACATATTTCAATATCTCCACCTTGGCATGTTCTTCTTCTACTTCTTCCAAAGTTAACTCCCTCTTAATCCCCCATCTCTGTGTGTATGAGAGAGAGAGGGTCTCTTAGGATCTTAATTAGCAGTGTAAATAATTTGTGTGAAGAGATTAATTCCAATATAATTTATTGAAGGTTTGGCCTTGCTTATACATCTCAATTTTTTTCGATAAAGTATTTTATCAAATGGTGCTTGATCAACGATTGGTTTAAGGTTGAAGGACTGAGCCAATACTGTATTAGTGTAAACTAATATTCTTAATAGAAAACTTCACTTCAATCCTTGGCAAATATGACTTTTAGATTAAAATATGAGTAAGATCAAAATATAATTTTATTCCCTTGATACATTAATAACCTCATTTATTAATTATATTTTGATTTTTTAACTACTTCTCTTTTTCTTCCTAATTTTTAATGTATTAATTTTATTTCATTATAATTTTCATTTTCATTCCATTTATGGAAATATATTGTGTTGTAAACACTTAGATAAACTAATTTTTGTTATACAATGTATTTCGATGTACTTTGTCTTCTTCATTTAGGTACATTAAATTCATTATAATACATTTCGATGCATAAATTTAGGTACACACATTTTGGTATATACATTTCGATATAAACATTTATGTACATTAATTCATTATAATACATTTCGGTGCATTCATTTCAGTACACACAACATTAATTTAATATAATACGTTTTGGTGCATATATTTTGGTACATACAATTCGGTACTAACATTTAAATACATTAGTTCAATATAATACATTTGGGTACACACATTTTGGTACTAACATTTAGGTACATTAATTGAGTCTTTCAAGTTTGAAGAATGTTAAATAAAATTAATAAATTAAAAAACTCTTTTTTTGGTAAAAAAAACAATATTAAATTTAAATATTTAATGAGAGACATTAAATAAAATGTACATTAATTATTTTGAATTAAGGACACATCAAAGGATTATAATAAATATGTAATTTAACACCAGGCTTATTTTAAATTTCAAACTTCTTGAAGTATTAAAGTTAAAAAACTCAGTTAATTAAGATCTAACACCAAAAGATGCAGGTGCTAAGGCAGATGTTTTGGGAGTTTAGTAAAATATTAGTTGAAGACTCGTCTTTTACTGTTGTATCAGAATGCACCATGAACAAGACTACAAAATAATAAGAATATTATTAAATAAACAAGAATGCCGAAATGGCTACAAAACCCCAAGAGATTACATCCCGACTAACTTGTTATTCTACAGAGTTACAAAGTATCATATATATAGAAAACTAACTTAACCCTAATAAGCAAGGAAACGAAATCCTAATACTAACGGGTTAGGCCCAAAATACTATTCATTAAAATAAATCTAAATACTAATATTTTCCAACAAAACATTGATTTGACCTAGCCAGCCAGTCGACCTTCTCTCTCTTGCATGCTCATGGTTGAAAGTGAATCCCACATCAGAAAATTAAAATCATTACCAGACTGTAGAAACCTCTCTTTTGCCTCTTCTTACTTTTCCCTACTTTTACGAAAGCTTTTATCCATCGGTTCAGCACCGTTAAGGACATTGAAACACGAAACTTGGTTGTTTAATTTGAAGGTTACATGTAGGTATATCTTACAACTGAGAGAATTAGGGTTTCCGAAAGTATGCTTATTGCCAAAGAAAGTTAAATATCAGCCACAACATGTTTCAACTAATTTGATTGCCAACCATTCGAAGACTACAAGCAGACTACACAAAGCAAACATGCCTACTGGGACGGGAAACTTGAAAATACAATATTACACTACACTTATTTGAGAAACCAAGGGCACGTTAATACCAAGGGCACTTTTTAAAACGATTTCCCCTTTTTAGTTTTTAAAACAAAAATGTTATTCGTCCATTCTATTTGTATCATTATTTAGAAGCATCTTCAAAGGATTTAAATTTTGTTCTCTACCTGATAAGTGTTTTTAGAACAAAAAATAATAATGAAAATGATAAGAACATCTATTAATCACTAAAATAAATATGAAGTTGGTGTTAAATTTGATAGCAACCATCTTTATTGTCAATCTACATCATGTTAAATAAGAATTGACATTTCAATTAAAAAACATTAATACTTTCTTTTTTACTTGTTATTGTTGATGTGTTATTTTTTTTTACTCATCTTTGGAGATACTTTTAACTAGTATCCAATGGCTCGTTTGGATGTGCTTTTAAAATAACTAAAATCACTTTTAGAGAAAATATTTTTGGGTTCCAAAAGTACGTAAAGTGTTTTCTGCAAGCACCACTTATGAGCTTCCCGAAGCACCAGTTATATGCTTATTATAGAAAGCACTTTAAGTGTTTATCCAAGATTTACTTGCATCTTTACTAAAGATTGGTTCTAAAAACATTTTCACTAAAACCGTTTTCAGTCATTTTAAAATGACATTCAAACGAGTTCTGAATTATCTATTAACAGAACCCTCCATATTCTATAAGATGGTGAAAGGAAAATTTGGTTTTTTTTTAATCACAATGAAATTATGGGCAATGCAAAGGCTTGAAAATTTATTAGCAGAATGATTGGGTAAAGACCTGGACTGTTCGTTCGTTCATATAGTCAACCATGCGGATAGAATTGCTAAAACCTGATCTAGCCAGCATCTGGAATCTGCAACTGCACCAATCTGTTGCTTCCTAATAGGTAAGGCAATCTTGCTTCTCAGTTTATAATTTATCTCTTAACATTTATATTTCCTGATCAGGCAATTAGTCTCTCTCTCTGCAACTTCTTTTTTGACGATTCTCTGTTAAACCAATATCATAGGTTGTACTATTTCTTTTTTGACGATCGTTAATTTGCATGTTATATGAATATGTAAGGATTTGAAGGCTATGAAAACTCATACACATATGCTTCGTTTTGTGTCTAGGATTGAATTTGAATTACTAACCTTCTAAATTTAAGTTATATCGAAGGTAGAGGAGAATGATTTGGGTTACCAGAATGATGTTCCATTTTGAGGAGTTTAGAAGGAAACTTCTCCTCTTTAATCCTATGATTGTGGGGATGATTGGAATGGATAAGTTTTCTACCTTCAACATACCTTGAAAATAGTTGCTTAGTCTTTCCAATCCAATCTATATGAAATGAGGCCATAAGTTTAGCCTAGGAGATTTAATCGGTACTTTTGATTTGTGGGTTTTCAGGCTATGAATATGGCTGCTGCTTCTTTGGATGCTGCTGCTATCTCCCCTTATGCTTTGAAGTATGATGTGTTTCTTAGTTTCAGAGGTGAGGACACCCGCAATTCTTTTACCAGCCTTATGCTGCTTTATGTGGGAAGAAGATCAAAACCTACATAGACGACACCCTTGAGAAAGGAGATCAAATTGCACCTGCCCTTCTAAAAGCAATTGAGAAATCAAAGCTTTCGGCAATCATTTTCTCGGAGAACTATGCTTCTTCCACATGGTGTTTGGATGAAATTGTGCATATATTGGATTGCAAGAAAAAAAATGGACAAGTTGTTATACCAATTTTCTACAACATCGACCCATCGCATATACGAAATGACACGCCCCGATCTCGATGTCCTAGGGACAAAGGGATGGTCACGTGCTGGCCGACACCCGAAGGGTGACGAAAGCCATTTATTGAGTGCAAATGCTGACAACAAGGGATAGATAAGACTTATAAATATAAGAGAATAAAGAATATGTATTTAAAGAACGTGTTCAGAGCACACATCTAATCTAGAATATTAAAAGAGTTAATATAAAAATTGAATGAACACAGAAGTGGGTCCTACACCGAGAGGACTCGAAGATACCGATGCGAAAGTGCCTGGATGCCGGGATTGTATGCCTCGATCCTAAATCCTGAAGGGGGCGCAAAACAAACATGAGTAGACCAATTTGATATAAATATAACAAAATAGTTATCAACGTACTAACCCCCAAGTTTTATGAAAACACATATATAATGATAAACATAGGTTTTCCGAAACCTAGCATGATGTGCAGTGTCTCAAATCATAACTTGTATATATAATAATCACTAGTGAATTGTCCGATAACCCCCAGGCCCCATGCCGGCTCCCCGTCTCTGAGCAGACAGTCAGAGGAAAATACACTTCAGGCCCCATGCCGGCTCCCCGTCCCTGTGCTAAATAGCCAGAGGAAACACACTCCAGGCCCTATGCCAACACCAAACCGTCGCCCGGGATGGACCGGAATCTATCCCTACGTCCCGTAGCGAAAAGGACTACTAGGTAAGTACAAAACCATTGAACATATATATATTGAAAAACAACTTCATAGTATAAAGTCATCCATCATCTATACTATAAAGAGGTGTTCGAAACATGTTCTAGTATCATATCGTCATCCATCAGATATTCTATAAGAACACGGGTTATAGGAAAAATAGTAATAATTCAAAGTAGCCTCAGTAAGCATATCATCTCATAAAGTACTTCATAAAACATAACTATTAAATCATGTTTTTTATGTATGCATTTCTACTATAAAACATGCATTTTAGAAGGGGTCCACTCACAGTACTTAGTTGCCAAAAGCTGCGCCACTAGCGAAGACGGAAACGTCACAATAATTGCCCCTAAGCACATTAAAGAGTCCAATAAATAAAACTATATAATAGCAATTGAATTTGGGAAAACGGACATTGGAAACGGATCCAGAACGTTGAATTACCCTAAGAAGGGTCCCGGACGAAAACCCGAAAAGTCAACCCTAAAGTCAACGTTGACCGGGGGTCAACGGTCAAATTAGGTCAAACGGGTTTTAGGCTTGAACCCGGATTAGGGTTTAGAGTTTAAATAAAAATAGGGGATTTGGGATTGGATGGGTTTAGGGTTTTAAAGGATTTTAGGAACCTAGGATTTTTGGGTTTAGGGTCCTAAGGTTAAAGGGTTTAGTGCTTAAGGCCCTTAAGTTAAAAGGGTTTGAGAAAGGGCTGAAAGCCCATTCAGATTGGCCCAAGGCCTTAATTCTAAAACAGGAAATAAATAAAAACCTCAAAAGGTTTTTGGGTTGGACTAATGGGCTGGGGGCCCTAAATCTAATGGCCCGAAGGCCTTTTGGGTCCTAAACCAATAACAAATAAATAAAAACAATTAAAAGGATTGGGCTAGGGCTTTGGGCTTATGCAGTACGGGCTTAAGGCCCGTGGGTTTGAGAAACGGCCTGAAGGGCCTGGTTTGCCAAAGAAGAAGGCCGGAAATTCGGCCGGAAAACCACCCCACTTTAAACGGCCATAACTTTATCACTACTCAACGAAATTAAGCGAGACAAAAACAAAAGTTGTAGCCCTGGAAGAGACGAAGAGAATGATACCTCACACGACGTCTAACTCGCCGTTTTTTGGCCGGAAATTGCCTCGAAATCCTCGGAGGTCGCCGGAAACTGGGTAAGATTCAAATGAGTATAACTTCTTCAATACTCAATGAAATTGAGTGAAACAAAAAGAAAAGTTATAGTACTCGACAAGACGAAGAGATTGATACCTTGCACGCCGGCCAACTCGCCGTGGTTTGGCCGGAAATGGCCTCGAAAGCCGTCGGACTCGCCGGAGGTTATTTTCTTGGTTTCGCCGAGTTGCGCAGAGGCAAGAGGAAGAGGAAAGGGACGAGGTTTAGATGGTGAGTTCTCAGCAGATGGCGTGGCTGAGTGTTGATCGGGGAAAAAGAGTTGCAGCGAGGGAGAGAGATGAGGTCCGAGAGAGAGAGACACGGGAGAGTGAGGTAGAAAAGAGAGTTGAAAGAGGAGAGAGACCGGGGGAAAAACCAAAAAAAATCATAAGGTGGGTCCCACGGGCTCACCAATTAAGGCTTTAAAACAATTTTTTAAAATATAAAAGGGGTTGGGGTGTTTCACGAAAACAGCAGGGGAGTTATGAAGATGCATTTGTTCAACACAAAGAACGTTTCAAGGACAGTGTGGAGGGAGTGACGAAGGTGTGCAAGTGGAGAAATGCTCTGAAGGACGCCGCCAATCTGTCCGGGTTTGTTTATTCAAACAAAACAGGGTAACTAACTCTGCAACTTGTACCAATTTCTACCAACCATTTTTATCAAAAAGGTTCGTTAAGGCACACTTATTAATATTGTTTGTTGTTGATATTCACATTTGCTAGGACGGAGGCCAATTTCATTGAAAAGTTGTTGAAGATATTTTGACAAAATTGAAACGAATATCATCAAGTGATTTGAAGGGCCTGATTGGAATTGAAAAAAAAATTAAGCAAATAGAATTGTTATTGTGCATTGATTCCCCAGATGTTTGTACTGTTGGTATTTGGGGCATGGGTGGTATTGGCAAGACAACTCTTGCAGATGCTGTATATCACCGACTCTCTTCTAAATTTGAAGCTTCTTGTTTCCTTGCAAACGTTAGGGAGGAGTCAGAAAAACATGGACTGAACTACTTGCGAAATGTACTAATTCGTGAGATATTAAAGGAAAAGGATCTTGATATCAGCACTCCAACTATAGGATCAACTTCTGTTCGAGAAAGGCTCAGCCATACAAAGGCCCTCATTGTTCTAGATGATGTGAATGCTTCGAGGCAGTTAGAACTTCTACTTGGTGATCATGTTCGGTTTGGCCCCGGAAGTCAAATCATTATAACAACTAGAGATAAGCGCCTACTTAAGAGAAGTGTTGACAAGATATATGAGGTTAAGGGATTAAGTTGGGAAGAATCTCTTGAGCTCTTTCATTTGCATGCTTTCAAAAATAACTCTACTGAATCACGTTGTGCAGAGTTGTTAGGGACGGTGGTAGATTATGCCGGAGGGATGCCATTAGCTCTCAAGATTTTGGGTTCCTTATTCCTTCACTGCAACAACAGTAAAGACTGGGAACATCAATGGAATGAGTTGAAAAAATTTCCCAATAAAGAAATTGAGAACATGTTGAGACTAAGTTACGAGGGATTAGAACGAAATGCAAGGGAGATATTTCTTGATATTGCATGTTTCTATAAGGGGACGACAATAGATTCTGCAAAAAAAATGTTAGATGTTCGTGGTTTCTTTGAGGGTGGAATTAAAGTTCTCATTGATAAGTCTCTGATATCAATTTCAAAATGGAACTGCTTGGAGATGCATGATTTGGTACAAGAAATGGGTAGGGCAATTGTTCATGAACAATGTATTGAAGAGCCTGGAAGACGCAGTAGGTTGTTCGATGCTGAGGATATTTATCACGTATTGAAAAATAATAGTGTAAGAGCCAAATGCATCAGTTTCTTCAGAAAATAAATATATAAAAAAGTTCTTGAATTTTCTATAAATAGACACTTGTATATGAAAAGCTCATTTATAATGAACTAGTCAGATGCATAACATACAAATGTAGTTTTGATTAAATTTTGTTTGCATTTGCATATATTCACATTTATACTTTGCTCTTGAATGTCTACAGGGAACTGAAACGGTTCAAGCAATAAATTTTTAAAGGGTCTAAGGTTGGACAGCTACACTTGGATTTTGCAGACTTCAAAAAGATGTCCAATCTAAGATTACTTACTGTCAAGAATTCTAGCTTTGGGAAGTACTGCAAATTTAAAGTTTCTCTTCCCAATCCTCTTAGATATCTTTGCTGGGAGGAATATCCTTTGAAATGTTTACCAGTAAAATTTTCTCCAGAAAATCTTGTTGAGATTCGAATGGGCCGCTGCAAAGTTGAGCAACTTTGGAATAAAGACCAGGTATATATACTTGTTTCTTGTATAAACTTTGTCGTTTGGAAACTTTTTTCTGGCTAAGTCCTTAAGTCTTATAATACCTCTTTAATTTGTTACAGAATCTTAGGAACTTAAAAGTGATGGATCTTCATCACTCCGATAAACTGACCAAAGTTCCAGATCTCTCTCAAAGTAGAAAAATAGAGCATATTAATCTATTTGGTTGTAGAAGTTTGGTTAAAGTACCTTCGTCTTTACAATGTCTTGACAAACTTACTCATCTTGACCTTGGAGAATGCTCGAGTCTCAAATGTCTTCCGGACTTGCCAGAAAACATTGAATACTTGGATTTATCAAATACTGCTATACGGGACTTGCCTTCATCAGTTTGGAATAACGAAAAGATCTCGTACTTGAATATTCAATGTTGTAAATACCTTGAGAATCTTCCAAGCAACAATTGTAAGATGAAACTACCGCTTGGTTTTGGTCTACAGGGATGCTTATCTCTTGCCAAGTTTTGGGAGCTTCCCCGAAATCTAGTGGTATTAGTGATGGCGGGGGCAAAAATAGAAACATTACCCTCATCAATCGAGCGTCTCTTTGGTCTCCGAAAAATTGAACTGAAAAATTGCAATAGGCTTCTGAGTATCCCAACAAGCATTTGTGAATTGAAATCGCTTGAGGAACTTGATCTCACGGGTTGCTCTAAATTTAAGGACTTTCCAGAAATCTTGAAACCTATGGGTTATCTGAAGCATCTTTGGTTAAATGGAACGGCTGTTAAAGAGTTACCTGAATCAGTCGAGCATCTCTTTGGTCTCCGAAGAATTGAACTGAAAAATTGCAACAGGTTTCTGAGTCTCCCAGCCAGCATTTTTAAGTTGAAATATCTTGGGGACCTTAATCTCACTGATAGCTCTAAATTTGAGGATTTTCCAGAAATTTTGGAGCCTATGAGAAATCTTAAGTATCTTTGGTTAAGTGGAACGGCTGTTAAAGAGTTACCTGAATCAATCGAGCGTCTCTTTGGTCTCCGAAGAATTGAACTGCAATATTGCAACAGGCTTCTGAGTCTCCCATCAAGCATTTTTAAGTTGAAATATCTTGGGGAACTTGATCTCACTAGTAGCTCTAAATTTAAAGACTTTCCTGAAATCTTGGAGCCTATGGGAAATCTGAAGTATCTTTGGTTAAATGGAACGGCTGTTAAAGATTTACCTGAATCAATCGAGCGTCTCTTCGGTCTCCGAATGATTGATCTGAAAAATTGCAACAGCCTTCAGAGTCTCCCAGCGAGCATTTTTAAGTTGAAATATCTTGCGGAACTCGATCTCACTGGTGTCTCTAAATTTAAAGACTTTCCAGAACTCTTGGAGCCTATGGGAAATCTGAACTATCTTTGCTTAAACGGAACGGATATTGAGGAATTACCCGAATCAATCGAGCGTCTCTTTGGCCTCCAAAGACTTGAACTGAAAAATTGCAACAGGCTTCAGAGTCTCCCAGCGAGCATTTTTAAGTTGAAATGTCTTGGGGAACTCTATCTTACTGGTAGCTCTAAATTTAAACACTTCCCAGAAATCTTGAAGCCTATGGGTTATCTGAAGAGTCTTTGGTTAAATGGAACGGCTGTTGAAGAGTTACCCGAATCAATCGACCATCTCTTTGGTCTCCGAAGAATTGAACTAAAAAATTGCAACGGGCTTCTGAGTCTCCCAGGGAGCATTTGTAAGTTGAAATATCTTGGGCAACTTGATCTCACTGGTATCTCTAAATTCAAAAACTTTCCAGAAATCCTGGAGCCTATGGAAAATCTGAAGTATCTTTGCTTAAATGGAACGGCTGTTGAGGAGTTAGACGAATCTATCGAGCGTCTCTTTGGTCTCCAAAGAATTGAACTGAAAAATTGCAACAGGCTTCTGAGTCTCCCAGCGAGCATTTTTAAGTTAAAATATCTTTGGCAACTTGATCTCACTGGTTGCTCTAAATTTGAATACTTTCCTGAAATCTTGGAGCCTATGGGAAATCTGAAGTATCTTTGCTTAAATGGAACGGCTGTTAAAAAGTTACCCGAATCAATCGAGTGTCTCTTTGGTCTCCATAGAATTGAACTGAAAAATTGCAACAGGCTTCTGAGTCTCCCAGCGAGCATTTTTAAGTTGAAATATCTTCGGGAACTTGATCTCACTGGCAACTCCAAATTTAAAGACTTTCCAGGAATCTTGGAGCCTATAGAGCCTATGAAAAATCTTCGCTCTAAGTTTTTGTTAATGGAAAGGGCTGGTGTGGAGTTACCTAAAAACATCAAGCGTCACTTTGAATTCCTAATTACAATTGAACTCAAAAATTGCAACAGTCTTCTGACCCTCCCTGTGAGCGTTTGTAAGTTGAAATCTCTTGAGGGACTTGATCTCACTGGTAGCTCTAAATTTGAAGACTTTCCAGAAATCTTGGAGCCTATGAAAAATCTGAAGTATCTTCGGTTAAATGGAACAGCTGTTAAGGGGTTACCCAAATCAATCGAGCATCTGGTTAGTCTCTTAAGAATTGAACTGAAAAATTGCAACATGCTTATGAGTCTCCCAATGAGCATTTGTAAGTTGAAATTTCTTGCGGAACTTGATCTCACTGGTAGCTTTAAATTTGAAGACTTTCCAGAAATCTTGGAGCCTATGGAAAATCTGAAGTATCTTTGGTTACATGGAACAGCTGTTGAAAAGTTTCTTGAATCAATCGAGTGTCTCTTTGCTCTCCGAAGAATTGAACTGAAAAATTGCAACATGCTTATGAGTCCCCCGACAAACATTTGTAAGAGACAGCGTGAAGAGTTTGATGGAAGTGGAAGTGAAATGTTTAGCTCATATGAGGAACAAGAAGATGATGTACTTCCACATACAATGAAAAGAAATAAAAAACTGTTAGTGCAAGATCAAACATGCTAAATTGCAGTGAAAAAGCTGTGGCAGCCAAAGTTCTTGCTTGTTTGGTCTTCTTTGTTTCAAGCTTTCGGCTCTCCAACGTAAGAACTTGAAAGAAAGATCGATTTATTCGAAGTTCAGCTTTAATACCCTTTACACATATATACGTAGTTGACAATTGCAATTGAATTTAAATTCTTACGAACAGACTAACGGGCTACATTCTATGTGAAAGACACTTAATTTTTTTAATTTGGAACAGGTACTAAGCTATTCTATTAGCATCTTTGCATTACACCGAGGCACTACAGGAAGAAAAATAAAAAAGAGTAATCAACTGAAACAGTTTCTTAGCAATGGAATGCAAAGGAGGAATAACAGAAGATAAAGCTGGAGAGCTTCTTTCCACACGGTATTGATTCTTCTTAGTGTTGCTAAACAATTCAACTAGCATTAACTTCGACAATATTCTGTCCATATTTTTTCGCGTTGTCCATCATTTCTCATTGCTAATATAGCTACACCCCAGCAGCACATTAACTTGTATGTTGTTACTTGTGGAATTGCAGGTAATTACAAGTAGGGAAATGATTCCCGCAGATCTTTTCTCGTTCTACACATCACTGTTTATTTATGTTACTTGAATCTCCTTGGATTTATTCAACACAAAGGTCAAAGTAAGCATGGGTGTGGTAAATAAGTTCCCTTTTAACTACATATAGCTGCTTTTTCTGTTAACCCTCCTTGAGCAAAAGATGATGTCTTTCTCACTTTCAGAGTGAGGGCACCCGCAAAAACATTTATCGGCCATCTTCAGGCTTCTTGTTACTTCAAGATAATATTCTCGCCTACACAAGTCATGAGGTAGGAGGTGGAATTGCGTCTTCCCTTGTGGAAGCAGTCGGGAAATCCAAGCTTTGGTGATCATTTTCTCAAAAAAAACTATACTTCTTCCTCACAGAACTTGGTGTTTGGGATGAACTTGTGCATATACTAGAATGGAGATGAAAGATGCGGATGGCAGCTTGTTATACCCATGTTTTTTGCAACATCGATCCATCACATGTACAAAAGCAGCAGGGGAGTTATGCTGACACGTTTCATCGAATTTAAAGAATGTTTTCAAGGAAATAATGGACAAGGTGCACAAGAGGACGGCAGCCTTGAAGTCTACAGCCAATCTGTCTGGGTTTGATGCTTCAATCAATATTAGGTAACAGGCTACCTCTTGTAACCGGTATTAATTTCTAGTGATGCTCACCTAAGGTCCTTATTTTGAGGAAAATAAAAACGCGTAAGAATTCCTCGACAGCTTCATTCATTTCTCCAGATTTGGTGTATAAACATACTCCCAACCAAAACATCTTGTGTAATTCGTTTAATCAGCCGCCCTTGAACTTCCTTTCCAGTTTCATTTATCCAAATGGATTTAACAGCCCATGTTTTCGAATGCAGATGCACTGCTGCTGCAAGAAACCCCAGAGGATCATAATCAGAGTTACCCGAATCAATCAAGCGTCTCTCACTAAAAATAGAGCCTTCTTTAACTATTCGTGTATTAAGCATCGTCTATTGCCAGCTGCTACAGGAGGTAATCTCTAATCCTTACTGGAGTGAATTCCATATTAGAGAATTTAAAAAATCATTACTAAAGCTTCAATCCATCAACTCAGCATCGTAAGGACATTGAAACACGAAACTTGGTTGCTACAAAGCATTTTGTTTCCCGACAATATCCTTACTGACATAGAAAGTTACATATCAGCCACAACACATTTCACTAATTTTATTGCCAACCATTCAAATTTCAAAGACTAGAAGCAGACTACACAAAGCAAACATGCCTACTGGGATGCTAAGTGCACGTTTTAAAACCATTTCCTTTTTTAATTTTTAAAAAAGTGAAAACTGAACACCAAAACCAAGTCAAATTTTGAAACCTAAAAAAATTTAGCTTTCAGTTTTTGGCTTCCAACTAAAAATGAAATAGTAATCAAACAGCCCTTAAATTCCTAACTTTGTGCGGTCTAAATTTAAGAAAATGCTTGAATAACAAAATATTGGATAGCATGAACATGTGTGATAGTGTGTCCAGTAAAGTGAGCCTCCCCAAGAATATATTCCCATTCCTCCAAGCTCCTTTCTTTGCCTTTGTTAGTGTCGACAATCATCACCGCGTCTAACATCAATTTCACATTTGCTAGCTTCTTGTCTTCTTTCTCATCTTTTCGTCGATAACGGCATCTATGATTATAACCTTCCCCGTGTCCTTAGGAATAGCTTCCCGACACTTGTTCAGGATACGAATGCAGTCATCGTCTCCCCAATCATGGAGAACCCCCTAGAGGTCATGGAGATACAATCGATCAGATCACAGCCTTAATCGTAATCTCGTTGAGCAAGAAAACTTATAGCAAGATAATAACGGAGAAATGCTACAAGAACCACACTATCTATAGTGAAAGTTCATGAATTAATTAACATATGGTTAATGGTCACAAATGAAAATATAAATGCTTGTCAGCTAGTTTTAAAACAAACCTTCGTGATCACAGTATCGGCCTTTGGAACACAATCAAACATGTCACCTGCTACATTCTCGATGCGATCGCACTCTGGAGAAACAGAGACAACATGCGAAAGATCAAAGTTAATGCCCCGAATCAAAGGACAAGAGCCTCGACCAACAGGCGCAACAGAATCCCATTACCCCTGCCACCATCCACTATTGTTTCAAGCCCTTTGCAACTTTTGATCTCCGCAGGCACAACCACCTTTGCGCCACAAGTCATTGCATCATTGAAAAGCTTGCTGATCAGGATTGGTTGCGCCGAAGCTCCATAGGTCCTCGTACTTCCTGAAATGCTGGATTGCTAGTGTTTCCTTGAATTCGGGCACTTAGGCCTAGCAATGGTGCCATCATTACCGGATTACTCCCCATCAAGATCAGTGCCGCCATGCTATTTTCTCCGGATTTTAGTAGCCGGCGAGACAAAGGTGTTTGTGCGTAACCACTGGAGCCTTTTTGGGTTGTGTTTATGTCTCTGAATATTTTGCGGTGGACTAGTGCCCTCATGAGGCGGTAAAGGTGAGAAGGATCACAACTTAGAGCAGATGAGAGCTCTAAGAATTTCATGGGGCTTCCATGGCTATCAATTGCTTCAGCTTCCGAGCTCAATGCCACATTTTACCACCGCGATTTCAACAAATGTTTCCACACATCCACCTTGGCATGTTCCTCTTCCTCTTCCCACGTCAACTCTCTTCGTTTCTCTTCCATATTTTTGTGTGTGTTTCTTAGGCTCTAAACTAGCACTCTATCTACACACAATTTACGGGAAGGGATTGGAGTTGAAGCTTTGATGTACATATGTTGAACATTTATGAAAAAGTCCATCACTTTAGTCAAAGATTCAACTACCCAGTTTTCAATAATGTTTGTTTCCTTTTCTGAAAAGTACATCCAGTGAAACCGTTTGCGCGATTGGTTGAAATCCGTATGATGTGCTTGGTGGAAGTATTTAATCCAATAATGTTGGATGAGTAGTAAACTACTCATTTGGTTAAGCTCTAACATCAAACGCCGGTGCATAACATGCGTTGATTCAATAATTAAACTTCCCGACTTCTACTAAAGAAAAATGACTAGCCATCCTTGAAAAAGTCTTTTCCGTTGAGAAAGTCTTGCTTTCTTTCTTTAAATTACACTAATCCAACATTTATTGGATCAATCATTTCAAACAAAAAGGAGTTTGATGTTACAGCTTAACAATTGAGTAGTTTACAACTCATCCAACTTATATAGGGGGGTGGGTGCTCCCTGCTGGACAAGCCTGCTAGGCATACCAAGCAGCTAGCTGGCCCAGCAACCATCGCCTTAGGGATGACAAGCTCGCCACACCCATCACCTGTTGCTTCGGTATAAACAGTGTGTCGATCTTGGGGCATTCTCGCTCATGGGTGTCGGCGACAGTGGTGCTCCAACGCGACCGTCGCCGTGCGGGGGAGAAATTTTTGGGTGGATTTGTTTCGACATGCTTGGGAGTGAGAATGATACGGTTTAGCTCAAGCATGAAGATTTTAATGTGCCCCCCAAAGTCAAGAGAGGGGGTGAGAATTTGCGAGTGGTTTTTCTTCGACAAGTTTGTCTGTGGGAATGCAAATGCGGGTACTACACACAAGCTTGTCGAAATTAACCTCGGTAGCAGATTTCTTCCCCGGGTTGCCTTGGGAATTGAGTTGGATATTAGCAAGGGGTGGCATTGTGTAAGATCCCACATCGTCCAGGAGAGTGATCCTTATATGTATATTCTCTTTTTTACCTAGCACAAGGCCTTTTGGGAGCTCACTGGCTTCGAGTTTCATCAGAACTCCGAAGTTAAGCGTGTTTGGGCTAAAGCAATCCCATGATGGATGACCCACTGCGAAGTTGCTCGTGAGTTCCTAGAAACAAAACCGTGAGGGCGTGGTCGGGGCTCAAAGCGGACAATATCGTGCTACGGTGGTGGAGCGGGCCCGGGATGTGGTGGACCCTGGGTCGGGATGTGACAATTTGGTATTAGAGCCTAACCCTGGCCGTGGTGTGCCGACGAGGACGTCGGGCCCCTAAGGGGGGTGGATAGTAAGATCCCACATCGTCCAAGGGAGTGATCCTTATATGTATATTCTTATCCCTACCTAGCACGAGGCTTTTTGGGAGCTCACTGGCTTCAGGTTCCATCGGAACTCCGAAGTTAAGCGAGTTTGGGCTGGAGCAATCCCAGGATGGGTGACCCACTGGGAAGTTGCTCGTGAGTTCCTAGAAACAAAACTGTGAGGGCGTTGTCGGGGCCCAAAGCGGACAATATCGTGCTACAGTGGTGGAGCGGGTCCGGGATGTGGTGGACCCCAGGTCGGGATGTGACACATTGGATGAACCAATGCATAGGCTTGTCCTAGGCATGCTTGTAGGTGCACAGCTATGGGGTTCATGTACGTTTGTTTTCCAAAGGGCTCACCTAGGCCACTAGCATGTCGAAGATGAGTTTTTGAGGCAGAGATGAAGAAGCTCGTCCCTGTCTCCTTGTTATTGCTATTAGATTTTGGTTATCTCGATATATTTTTATTGACCATAGTTCCCAATTAAAAATGATCCCAATTAAGAAAATAACAGAAAATTACTTAGAAGTCTACAAAAAAAATTGTATAAGTTTTATCAGTAGTCCTCCAAATTGGTACACAACATATACATAAGGAAGAGCTAAGGCTCATAGCCATAATAGACGAAGAATCTTTCAGACAGTCCTCTATATCACCCCACAGATAGACTCCTACGCTATAACACATTCTGAGAGATCGTGGAGCCCAAATGTTTGCCTTGGAGGAATATTTTGATTATGATATGTTATTAGAAGTAGAAAACGAAAAGATGTATGTCTACAGCAAAACAAATATCCATCATTAGCCTTATCGGAAGCCTCAAAATTTCAAATAAGAAATTGCAGCAACCTATTACAAGATAAAAGAAGATAGTGAAAGAGAAGAAGAATTAGAAGGAGGTGATCAATAATGGAAAGATATGACAGAAGAGGAATTGCACAACATAGACAACATGATAGAAGTATAGCTACATAGAAGAGCTAGCAGTATATAAGTAAAGGATGAAAAAGTAGAACAATAATGCAATAGAGTGGAAAATATTTCACAGTCGCACCATGCAAAGTTACGTACAATATTTCAAGCATTAAATAAAAATGTAAACATCAATGTACAACCCGCCATGATGAATAATATAATGACATAAAAGTAAATAAAGAATCAAGTTTGATCCATTAATAAACATCACACCAAAAATATTTTTATGATTAAAAGTGAATAGCAATAAGAGCTTTTATTAAACTTCCCAAAAAAATAATATAACTTAGAAAATACACCAAAGGAAAATTTTAAAAAAAAAAACCAAAAAATAAAAAATAAATAAATAAATAAAACAACCGCAACAATGGGGCGGGGTGAAGCGGCTTGTGGCTACGGGAAGGGGACTAGGGAGGCGGTGGGGAAGGGATGGCGAACTGGGGGCTAAATTGGTGGATCTAACTCGCACCAAGTTCATGATTTTTGTTTCCAAATTCAAGGCGAAAACTGTAGATACAAGAACTTCAACAAATCTCTTACAGGGAGCCTCTTCTTATTTGGCCAATCCCATGCTATTCCATACACAAGCTGGATCCAGCATGTTAAAAGAATTCCTGTTAATTTTATCATGTACACAAGTTAAAGGAGTTTTAAGTCCAGTCCTTTACAAGTTAGAAAATCGATCAATACATGCAAAAACATGTTTTTGACCTCTCTCTCTCTCTCTCTCTCTCATACAAAAAGCATACGAAGTGCAGAATTGCTCATGATAGATTGTTCTTTAAGGATGACTTTAGCTTCTCCACGGCAGCTAAAAGTGAGGAATTTAATTCACAAGTTTCCTTCAGTAACTCGAGCCTCTTCTCAACGTCATTCCCCACAGGCACTCCATCCTCGTGCTTGGTCTCATGCGATATAGATGCCTTGTTATATTGAATAAGGTTCAGCATCATCGCCTGCAATTACATTCCACATTGCATTAGATTTTCTCTCAAATGTTGCTTTGTGGAGACTTGGGGACAGCAGTTTTGATATGAATAGTTATTATGGAAATGCATATTTGTAGTATCATAATACGGCACATTCCATAATCATTTTCAACACAGATGGAGTTGTCTGAATGATTCATGTTATACATTCATAGGGTAAGAAGGCACATTTTGTAAGATATGCATTTATGTTTCACCCACTTGCTAGACACAACCTACTCTCAAGGCAGACTTACTACAAGTCTACAAGATAAACACAAACAGTTTAACGACTGTAAGAAAAATCTGCTTACCTCATGTTGCTGCTTCAGAGAGAAGTCTCGCAAAAGAGACCTTGAAAGTTTATTCCTAAGCAATAGCTTATCACCAGTGTATGAGCTAAAAATGAAAGCCGAAAGGTGATGGATAACCAGTGTATATGCAACTGATCCTCGACTTGCAGCCCTATCGAGGGCACCAGAAGTCCATGACTTAACGTATACCTCCAAAATATCCGGATTATCCTGCACAAGCACAAGATTCGATAACTTTTCATCACTTTTGTCATAAAAAGCCACTAATTTTCATTCGCAATTATTATGATTTCTATCTCACACACAACACTAACGCACACAATACTCAAAACTGAATAACAAATCACTCAAAGCTCATATAAGTACTGAATAGCACACAAACAAGTCAGTGACTAGTCAGGCGTACCTCTGCAGGTTCAAGGTACCCCTCTGCATCAGTAAAGCATTTCTCTAGAGGTGGCAGAAGTTCAAGAACACGAGAAGTGGTTAGCGTATTCCAGGCAGCAAGGCGCACAGGAGCTTCCACACAACGATGCAGATAAACTGCAACTTGCCGGCCATATATCAAATCACCATAAGATATAGCAGAAAACTGATCCACAAGAGTTTCAATAAATACAGAGTAACTCTCGTGAACCTCTGATTGGAATGCCAGAACCTCCAGGTTGTTTTCATTTCTATGTTCTGGCATTAAGTCAGACGACCTTGACTGATGAAGAAGGTTCCCATAGAGATCTTGTAAAGCTTCAAAAATAACCCTACTCTTCTCCTCCTCAACCACACCCATTCCCACGAGTAAAATCACAGATAGAGAATGCAATTTCCAAGCTAACGATACACTTTTAACTGGGGATGGAATGTCAGCTGGTAAGAAACTGGACAGTGCTTCAATTCCCAAAAGAAAGAAAAGCCCAGCTTTGGCAACTACAACAAAATCCCCTTGATCCTGCATGAGATCTTGTAAATTGGAGAATTTCTTAAGACCAGCATGCTTGCTATCACAAAGGGTTGAGATTGGACTGAGAAACCAGGAAATGGGTAGTGGCAGTCTCTGGTGAGCCCACTCTACAACTAAAGAAGTGCAATCTTGAGTGATCAAAGGTGATGTGTCCGATTCCTCGTATATAGTATCAAGGGAACCTTTACCCTTTTTCAGTGATTTACTATCAGAGGAATTCACGCTATCTTTGAGCTTTTTCTTTATGGATAACCATCTGTCTCCGAAATGAGAAGCTAATGTTTTACTGAAGAGTACATAATCCTCTTCTTTATAATCCCAATCAAACAGTTTCAAACCCCCATTTGAGGAAAGAAAACGTCGAATATAGAGATCAAGATACTTAAGAACTGAGACATCAAGCAAAATATTTAACACCTTTCTCACATAAGTCCTGTCTGTTGGTCCAGCAGTTACACATACTCCTAAAGATGAATTAATTGCCAGCATAGTAAAAGTCATTTCTTTTTCTGTGGGGCTATCCAAATTGGACACAAGCTTCCAAGTTTCAAGCAAGTCAACGAGAAATCTTGCATCTGCTTGCGACAACAAAACACTACCAGACCAAAATCCTCCACCAGAGGCACCCCAGCCAACTCCCACCCCGGGAGCAGGTCCTCCCCTGCCAAACATCTCAATGGACTGCACAAGGGGCCACTCAGAAGCAACTAACTTCATAAAAGTATTTTGCACACTTCTCAATTCAACCAAAGACCCCTTAAGTATACCGTCCTTGAGTATTTTCTCTTCTCTAGATGAAGGGTAATTTTGGGGAGGTGTTTGGACGCCTGTCCTGGCTAACATTATCAACTTATCAATGCTAACGACAAGCCCCACTAACCCCTGTAAGCAACTTACAGAAGCTAATGATGTTTCGCATTTACCCAGATTTCTCAAATGAGACAGTTTCTCAATGAAAGAGTCACCTCCGCTAGGATCTTTTCCAAATTTCGCATCAAGAGTATCTGAACAGCCTATAAACCCATTTTTAATCATTTCAAGTCCAACTTTAGGAACAAACTCTGGAAGCCATGGCACAAGACTACCACTTTCATGTGAGTGGACAGAATCATCTGGGACCACTCTTTCAAGCACTCTGGAAAGCATTTGTACTACAGCTGAATACACCCATAACAAGGAAGTGACTGATAAATCTTGGGAAGCAAGACCACCACGACTTCCACTTTCTCTCTCAAAGAAATTACAAATACTGGGATCACTCATCAAAACTATCCACTTGAGAGCTATATCAACCATTGGACCAACTTGGCTCCAAGACCAGAACTCAGTTCCATCACCAGAATGCTCAGAGATTTCATTGCTCAGACGCTTCTGTGAGAACAAACTTGGGAGCCTTCTAGCCAAAGCCTCCAGAACAAGGTATCCTTCTGTAGAGATGGACGTAAATTCACCAAGTACATCATTCTCAATAAGTTTTTCAATTGTAGGTGGGTTCAGCCACAAGCACAAGTTATGGAAAATATCTGAGAAGTATGACACACAATAGCCATGCTGAACAAAAACCTTCCAAAAACGCAGCTGTTCAACCTTCAAAGCCGAAGAAAGTTTACAGTTTTCCTTTCCAGATTTTACCCAGTTGTCAAGGAAGCAAATAGATTGATACAAATGCCATGTCATAGTTTGGAAAGTCCCATTCTTTATAAAAGCAACACAGTTCTTACGATCAGATTGAGCCATCACCTTTTATATACACAAAAATAAGGATAAAAGTATAAGTTTTATCCGGAATGAATGCAGGCATAATTCCCTTATAACACCAGGAACAAAACGTACTAGACAAGTGGACATAAAAGCTGTACAGAAACTGCTTACCTTTAGAAGTCTAACAGACTTTATTTTTGAAGGCTGGATATCTACACTGTCTTCTCCGATAAATCTGCTGACAATTGTTTCAAGAAGCCTTTCACAATTCATGATTGCATTCGCACATTTTGGGGAATGCCTTGCAATTGCAATAAGTATAGATATTGTGTATTCTTCCAAAGCTGCCGTAGGGTCAGACTGAAACAATATAAAACAATACACTTTAGGAGGAAACTGCAGATCATCTTCAACATAAATTTTTTTAGCAGCACCTTACTATATTTGCAACACTACTACTAATTGTTGAATCTGTGTTTTATTTCATATACCACAAACCCACATTCACATCAATCCAACAATGGGAACTAAGAATATAGCTCAGCCCTCATTACCTTGATAGAAGAATGAGAAAGCAAAGCACTTATTAAAAAGTAAATACGCACACATGACGCACCCATAACCCTGTGTCAAGACTTTAGGGATCCTTCAAGCTAGGCACTCATGAGTTTTCTGATGTGTTACACTCGTGTTTAATGTTAAAGAGGCCGTGCAATTTAGTAACATTTAACAACCTCTCTACATTTAACTAACAAAAGATTAAAGACATGCAATATGAACGTCAAAGTCGCACTAGGGAGGAAGGAGGTGAGCATCTGAATTTAAATTAGTGTTTGGTTCTCTATATAAATCTTGGGAAGCTTGAGTGGTTATCAAATACCTGCACAGCTCTTATAGTTGTCCTGAATGTTAAAACCAAATAAGGACTAACCTCCAAAACATAGCGAAGCCTTGGAAGGATTCCCATCCGCACCAAACCTGCCGCAAAATCTTGTCCAGCAACTACAACATCATCTTGAATGGTGCGTTTCCCTTCAGTTTCATCATCAATAATTTCCTCATCGAGAGAAACAATATTAGAAGGCTTGGTGTTGTACTTCCAAAATCCACCATGCAGGAAACCAACATCAATCTCTGGTTTGCTTCTGAATACAGGGGCAGTAAATGTGTCGATATGCAAGGTTGCTATTTTCTGAGAGCAGAATATATTAAGCTTGAAGTAATCAAATACCAATAGATCATAAACTTCAGAAAAGTAAAAAAAGAATAAAGAAATGTATAACTAGAGTAGTAATAAGAACAGAAAAGAAAAACTCTACCTCTGAAACGTCAAAGAAGTTCTCATTCACATCACAGCTTAATATGCGGTGAAGAACTTTGGCACAAGCTAGGACTACATTATTGTGGTTATCATCGAGACATATCCTGCAATAAATTAGAAGTTAAATTGCAACGACATCCAGTAAAAAAAATCGAATAATTGTTTGAAATATCAACTAGTACACAAAACAATCCAACAGAAGAGTAAGTTTACAAGATGAACGGGAACAATTTATGTATGGTTGGTTTCACCAAAATTTTGGAACATAAGGATCCAGATATTATTCACCTGAGAGATAAAATAAGCTCAGGTTCTGGGCCAAGTGCATAAGCCCAAATGGCCTCCCAGTCAGCAGATTTATCGACTTTACTAGCATCTTTCCAATAAGCTGATCTTGTGCTTGAATATTATGCAATGCCTTATCAAGCACGGTTGAAAGGAAATGCAAAGCAAGTGTCCGCTGTCCAGGAATCTGAAACCACCAAACAGCACATGGTAAAACAAGATAATGAAATCAGGAAGCAAACTTTACCAGGAGCAACAAGATTTGATACAAAATATAATAGAGGGCCATGGACATCGTACATCATCAAGTTTAGAGAAATTCAAAAGATACATTATCAAAACAGTTGATGTACAATTACAGCAATCAAGATTATAAACTGACCACACTCCTAGTGAGCGACACTGCTTCTTTGATTGTATAACCAGCAGCACCAGGGTCCCCCTCGGTACGCAGGTAGTCACGCTCAGATAAATTACCTGTAAAATTGGAGAAAAATTTACCCGATACTCTATTGAGGTATTTTTATCGTTTTGAAAGTAATATCATCCAGTGCAGTTGTGTTCCCCATACATGAAAAAATTTACCGATGCTACAAATTTCTTAGTAAGAGAAACTTTAACTGCAGAACTAAGTCCCATGCTTTAGAGAACAGAAAACAGAAAAAGTAAAAAGCAAAACTGGAGTAACAAGGAATACATAATCTCTTCAAATATAGAACGAAAAAGAAAATTAGCTTCTGCCAAAAATCATATAAACAAGTATTAAAACTTACTACTCTGAGATATCTGGTGGAAGCCATCTATAATAACAGTCCCATCCAAGGAAAACCTTAAGTCCCTAGCAGCCTGGACTCTATCACTCCAAGCATTCCACAAACTGCCACTGGCTTTGCCTGAATTCTGCTCCAATCTATCCTTTGCTGAAGTTCGAGTATTGTTTGAAGTAATTTTTGTAGCCACATGAGACGGACCACTGTGAGAGATAGTAGAAGCTTTTGGTTCACTGCTATCTGAGCTGGGGCCTCTTTGCTTTCTCAATTTCTCTTCACCCCTCCTTTTGAGTACTTGGAGCAATGCAGGGTCCAGTCTGCCCATGATCTCCGCCTGTGCTTCTTCAATCTCATCTGCAGACATCCCTTGCAACCGTGCACAGTTCTCTTCATCAATCTGAGCCTCAAGCGACACAGACCCCCCTTGTTCATTTCGAATATTATCAGGCATGGACTTTCCGTTCATGTCCGCTTCAATTTCCATGTTATTGTGACCCAAAACAGATTCTTGTTCAACCTTCAAGTTACCCAACACAGATCCTCGTTCAATCTTCGAGCTACCAAATGCAGATTCTTGTTCATTCTTTCGCTGGGAATGCACTTTACTTGACTCAATTTTTCTGGTACTAGCTTCCATTGTTTCCCTAAAAGTTATTGAGCTATTTGCATCAAGCTCCTCCTCTGCCCACTTACTAAAGTCCATATCTTTTTTCTTCGTCCTTTCGATCCGCTTAGCGAAATCCCTAATGTGTTCAAAGTCCATTACATCTTCATCATCCTCCTCATCCCCTTGCCCACCACCCTCCTCACCACCCAATTTACTATTTACCGGACCCCGATGCTGTCAAATCAACCAAAACCAGTCACAAATTCATATACATGTTTACCGTTTTTCCCTAAATTATTAAACCTTCTTTCAATTAAACAAAAAACAAAAACAAAAAAAAAGAAAAATCAAAACTTTTCAGACAACTGACCAAATAACAATTTTTTTTTTTTTAACTTCTCACAGTGGTGATCAAAGTATCAAACTTGCAGGCTTACCGGGCCATCGGAGCGGTGGCGAGCGACGGGGAAAGGAAGAACGGTTGGGCGAGGCGGTGGAGTGGGGCCCGACAGGGGCATATCGGAAATACCTTTCTCGACTATGCCGCCGAGTAAGCTCGAAGGAACATCGCCGCCGTCCCCGGTTTGAAGTGCTTTGGTGCCAAATATGACCTTCGGCTTCCTCGGGCCTGGACCGCTTGCTTTGGTGCTTTGCTTCTCCGCCATGGCTATATGAGCATTCACTCTCAACTCTCTGAAAGTAGGGCTAGAACAGAAATTTGGGCGGGCTCAATTTAATATAGTAACCAGCAAGTCTTGGAGAATGCTAAATTTAGCAATTTTTTTTCATATAAAAGGGAAAAGTCACGGTTATTCAATTTTTTTTTTTTTGGGTCTGAAGTAATTACAAGGAACTTCATCTTATTTGTAGGCCCAGTCAAGCAGACTTATCATCAGCTCGAAACATCGAATACATGACCTCACACATTTTATTTATTTATTGGAGAAATGCAATCCGCACTTTTATTATTACTAGACCACTTATTATGGTTAGTGGTTACTATTGTGGTTAGTGGTTACTATTTAGTAATTTGATTTATTATATAAAATTTAGTTAAATCGACTTTTTAATAAATTTAATACGTCCTAAAATGATTAAAAGAACATAAATGACCGTAAAAAACTGAATGACTCTCACAATGTTTGATGAGAAATGAACGAATGACCTCAAATTCCTTAATAATGTTCACCGCCAATAATCGAACAACAAAGTAAGAATTTGGTAAAGTGCAACAACGAACAAGGTCAATTTCGATGAACGAGTATTGAACTCGACATAGTAGCTCTTTTTTTTTTGTTTTCAATTTAGCTCATTTTAAGCCTCGGGGAATGGGTGGCTGCAGATCAGTTTGATTTGGTTTGACATAAGAATATAACCGAATCAATTAGTATTTAACGGTTTAGTTTGGTTTGGTTCTGTTTTGACTAATATCATTACTAACACCGAATCAAACTAAACAATTGTTATTCGGTTTTGACCAATATTAACCGAATCAACCCCAACTAGTATTTAATGGTTGAATTTGGTTCGTTTGATTCAAACGAGCCCCCTCCCTAGGCCTAGGGCTTTCAGGAACAGAGATTCAATCAAAACTTCTGCCAAAGTTTGCAGGCAAAACGATGCCCCCTAGGTCTAGGGCTTTCAGGAAAGAAGGGAATGCAAGGATTTTAATTTTCGATATAAAAGATATTAGGGGAGGGGGAAATTGAACATTTACTTCACAGTACATGGATAGATTTTTAACTACTTAAGCTACAAGCGCCATGTAGCCGATCCCACTCAGTGACTTGGATTTTCCAAGTCTCCAACCGAGAAGTTTTCCTCACTCAGGAAATTAAGGGAACACTACCTCAACCTACATGCTCCACTCACAAAGCTCCAACAAAAGAAAATTCAAAGAACTTAGCGAAGAAGGCTTTGGTGTATTTAACACAATACGTTGAAATGAAGGAAAACTTATTTATTGATATCCCCGATAAGCTACAAATATGTACATATACATGAGTCAATAAACAAACAAGAGAGAGCCTTCACAAAGGTTGCTTAGGAGAAGTCGCAGCAGTCGGTAGAGCCCCAGAAAGAGAAGGCACCGGAGGGGGATCATTCGGAGCCTCAGTACTGGACAGAACCCTAGAAGGAGGAGGCATCAGAGGTTGATCATTTGGAGCTTCATTACGCGGTACAGCCCCAGAAGACGAAGGCAATAAATGCCTTTGGAACAAACCCACAAATCTCTGATGATCAAGTAAAACCTGACCATCAGATTCCTTCATCTGGTCCAGCTTCCTCTTCATGTTTGTAGCATAGTCATGTGCGAGACGGTGCAACTGTTTATTCTCATGCTTGAGCCCTCTAATCTCCTGTTTGAGACTCATCACTTCAGCCGCCAATGATTCAACTTGGCGGGTTCGAGCAAATAGGCGTTGGGCCATATTAGACACAGAACCTGCACACTGAACACTGAGAGCCAGAGAATCCTTAACAGCTAACTCATCAGATCGTTTGGAAAGTAGTCTGTTATCTTTGGGAGTGAGAAGGTTCCTGGCCACCACCGCAGCGGTCATATCATTCTTCATAACGGAATCCCCAACGGTAAGAGGACCAGTAGGGGAGACGAAGGATGGGCGCCATATGTTGTCTGGAGAAGGCGGGGCTGCCTCTTCAACAAGGTTCAAGTCAAAACGACGGTCGGGAGGGCCAGACATTTTCAAAGGTGTTGAAGAGAGAAGAGGTCGAACAAATCAAGATCTTAGAAGTGTAAGAATGGAGCTTGTACTGGTGGAGATTCAAGTGTGCTTTGGAACTTAATGCCAGCCCCTATAAAAATCTGCACTCGACGGAGCTTCAGAAATCGAAGAGGCGCCTGCTCTCAGAAATCGAAGAGGCGTTTGCTTTCTCAAAAGCTGGGCTGCTCAGAGACCACGAGGGTCGATCTCAGAAATCGAAGAGGCGTCTGCTTTCTCAAAAAGTTGGGCTGCTCAAAAGACCACGAAGGCCGATCTCAGAAATCGAAGAGGCGCTTGCTTTCTCAAAAGTTGGGCTGCTCAGAGACCACGAGGGCCGATCTCAAAAATCGAAGAGGCACCTACTTTTCCAGCCTTGGCAGCACCTGTCACACGCACACTCAGCTTTGCGGAAATTATGGGCATTCTGTCGAAGACTTCTGGTGAAGTAGAAAGCACATGAGTCTTACTGTTCAATCACCCACTTCCCACACGCAATAGTAGTTCATGTGTATCACAGATAACTCTGCCAAAGTTCTCTGCCAAAGTTGAGCACGTGAAGCTTGCAGCTTCCACTACATCGCTCTGACCAAGACGGGTAAAAGAATAGCAAAGAAACAGCACTAACAAAGTTTAGACACATAAATTTTGAAGGTCTAGCTACCCCATATTATTACCCACAAGGGTAAAGGAACAGTATCACTGCTGGATAATTGGAAAGTCCTTGTGTGTCAACCTCTGTGCTTCGTGGCAAGGTAGACTAGCAAACATGCCCAACCTTTACTCACATTCGAGAAAACACTCCCAACAAGATTGCTTGCTCCAAAATCGAAGAGGCACCGCCCTCCGAATCTCGAGAGCCAGACTCCCAACATGATTACTTTCTCAAAAATCGAGAGACATCGTTCTCCGAATCTCGAGAGCCAGATCCCTGATAGGATTGCTTGTTCGAAAACCGAAGAGGCAACACTTTCCCAACTACAAGAGTCGGATCTCCTTGGATAAAGCTGTCTGTAATCTTCACACGCAACATCAGCTTTCCACATACCACAGACCACTTTTTTTCAAAGTGCTCTGACAGGGTAAAGGAATAGCATTACTACTTGTTGTTAAGGAGACTCCTATATATGTCAACCTCCATCCCCAACGGACAGACAGACCTGCAAAAATGCTCAACCCTTCCTCATATATGAGAGGGCACTCTCAACGAAGCCTTTCGAAATATTCAGCTTTCTTTCCCCCCGATAATACCTCTGCAAACAAGTTATACTAGAGCAAGAATATCTCATATCATCAGGGTTAAAAGCAAGAGTATCCCATATCATGCTTTTTCCCTGTCTTTTCCTTTGGCCTTGTTCTTACCTGCAAGACAAGGAGAAAGAGAGCAATCAGTCAGCACTTGGAATCAAGCTTCCAGCCAGGAACTGACTGCCTGGAACTTACTTACCTGGCATTGCTCTCGAGTACTCATCTTCAACATCTTATGCTTCCAGGGAAGATACCGCATCTGCCTGAGGAACAGATAGGGCAAGTGAGAAGGATACAAGGAAGCATGTGGAGACAAGCGTAACAGCACACGTGCCGATACATCCATTACTCTGTCAAAGCAAAAGTATCCCATATCAGTAGGGTCGAACGTACTCTAGATTTGATGGACTTGTTTTGACCCTCAAATTCTTCAGTCGGCCTTATACTCTGGAGGAAACCAGAAAACCCTCCAGCTCAGTTCAAGAATAAGCCTGTGGAAAGTTACTTCTTCAAAAGCAAAAGTATCCCATATCATCTCTTCTCATTTTTCTTCTCTTTATCCTTCATGCTGCCTGCAAGATAGGGAGAATGTGAACAATCAGCCGGAGCTCTGATTGCTTACCTTGTCTGTCACCTCTTTCAGCAAATCCCCTAGCTCGGCAACTTGAGGGACTCCTACTACATGGTTTTGTATCGCGCTTGACCAAGCCTGAAACTACAAGTAAGCTTCAAGTGAAATTGATACATTACCTTGTGCATCTCCACCAGTTAAAGATACCACCCCTGGATGGAGGAAGAGTACTTCCAGAGAAGATGCCACATCTACCTATGAGACAGATAAGGCAAGTCAAGACGATACCACATTCCGATACTTAGAAGTTTCGTGATTACGAGATCATTCTCCCACAATATTTCCTAATGTCATTTGTACTAAATCATTCACCTGTACTCACTAAAGGAAAGCTTGAACCTATGTACTTGTGTAAACCCTTCACAATTAATGAGAACTCCTCTATTCCGTGGACGTAGCCAATCTGGGTGAACCACGTACATCTTGTGTTTGCTTTCCTATCTATATCCATTTATATACTTATCCACACTAATGATCGGAGCAATCTAGCGAAGATCACAAAAAGCGACCGTTTTCGCTACCTAGGATATATCGTGCAAGAGAACGGAGAATTAGAGAGAGATCTCAACCATAGAATAGAAGTTGGATAGATGAAGTGTAAGAGTGCATCCGGCGGGTTGTGTGACCGTCGTAGGCCACTGAAGCTCAAGAGAAAATTTTATAGGACGGCAATAAGGCCAGCGATGTTGTATGACACAGAATGTTGGGCGGTGAAGCATCAACACGTACACAAAATGGGTGTGGCGGAGACGAGGATGCTTCGTGGGATGTGTGGGCACACAAGAAATGATAAGATTGGAAATGAGGATATTCGAGGTAAAGTAGGAGTGGCCGAAATTGAAGGAAAGATGAGAGAAAATCGGTTCCGGTGATTTGGACATGTGCAAAGAAGGCCTACTGACGCTCCGGTTCGAAGATGTGACTACGGGACAGAGGTTCAGGGCCAAAGGGGTAGAGGAAGACCTAGGAAAACTTTGGAAGAGACTCTAAGAAAAGACTTAGAGTACTTGGTTCTAACGGAGGACATGACACAAAACCGAGCGCAATGGCGTTCTAGGATTCATATAGCCGACCCCACTTAGTGGGAAAAGGCTTTGTTGTTGTTGTTGTTGTTGTTGTTGTTGTTGTAAGCTACAAGCGCCATGCAGAACGCCGAAAATTTATAACCAACTTTAAACTAAAATTGTCATTTTCCTTCATCTACTACCTGATCAGGTTCAAAACTATAGAGAAACAACCTACTTCTATTGCTAATAAAGAATATACAACATTGGATCTCAACAGCACCCCGGCGTTAGGCTTTAGACCCATCTCTGCAACTTCTTTTTGTAATATGAACCTACTTAACCTTAAACTGACCTAAAGTTAACTTAGTCAATCCCGTTCAGGAGCATCCCCGGTTGTTCTTCTTGAGCTTAGGCTTCCGGCGTACGACCACACCCTCTCAAAATCAGCTGTGAGTAATCTCTCTGACTTGTCATCTATTATAACGTTGCGCTTTACACACAGAGGTGTCCTTCCTGGACTTCCAATAACTGGGGTGGAGGAACAGAACGCCGGTGTTGCAAGTGGAGACGCATAAGGAGTGTGTTGAATGGAGAAGGGGCTCGGTGACATCCGCTTCTGGACAGGAAGGCCACTCAAACCTCCCCTGCTGAAGATAGACACTGATTCCGCAGCAGCACATCGCTTGGTAGCATCGTCAACGAAGAGGACATCATCTATCCTTGCCATTACGTTAAAGGCCAGACTCTCCATAACTCTTGAGTAGCTTTCCAGAATTGACTGCCCCACGTCCTGTAAAATCAACAAAGAAAAATCCTTCAGAAACTTCATCCTTCGAAGATTTGTTCTTTTATATATTGAAATTCGGAAGTTGTTGCAGTGTGCGGAAACTAGAAAGTAACTAATAATGCGCAATAATAAAGTTGGACGGTAAAAAATTTCAAAATGAAGGAATTCAACATATCTGATAAACCAGAGTTTATAAATTGATGGACGACATACTGGTTCAGGTGATATATATTAAGTAATGTAACGTAGATGGTTATGTGTTTTAACGTAGATGGATAGAGAAAACATGCAAACATGCAGTCAAATGTACCTTGTTATATTGTATTTTGTTCATATCTAGTGAAGTTTGCGGGAGGCCAGGGAAACGATGCCTTAGGCTGTGTAAGAGCGTCTCTGCTCGTTGGGCCAGAAAATGGCTCTTGTCAGTATCGGAAACAAGTCCCTTGACCTTGCCACCCCAGGATGCCCGTTTAGCTTTATGATTATTGTGTTTATTCTGGTCTTTCTGCGCCCAAACATGCACAGCTGCCTCAATTCTATTGGCTATCTCTAGAGTTTGATGTTCTGAGGACAAGTCCAGGCAATCCAGAAGATGCTCTGGTGAAAATTGGTCTGCAGCTATGTAACGATAAATGATATCGCCCATACAATCTTTCCCCTTCTATCATGAATGAAAAAAAAAATTGGCGTTAAAAAATTTTAAATCAGCTAAATGAAAACTTTATGTAGAATGCGAACGATTAACAGTTATTTCTAATGGTGATATTTGGCATCTATTTACAATCTCACTATATAACACATTTGAGAGATGTTTCAGCACCAGTATCAGCCACAACTAAGCAAACAAGAACAGAACGAGAGCGTTATTTCCATCTGCCATTACGGAAATTTTTTTTTTTTCCTTTCACTGCTAATGCTGTATAATTGTTGCAAAGCTCTACTTCCAAGCTATAAAAAGGACATGAGTACCATTAACACATTTATAAATCAGTCAAATACAACAGGAAACAGTTGCAGAACAACACAAACGATATGAACAAAGAAAATGAACGACAAACTTTTAGGGGAAGATAACAAAAGATCTCCAACAGGATTTCCGTGTGATTTAGAGATAGCTCATCTCATGATTTAGAATGGAACTGAAATATAAGCTCGATCACTCGATATACATGTGACATCTCACCGAGATTAAATCCCATATAGAAAAAGAAACTAAAACTCAAATAATACTGACAGGAAACATATAAATATATGAAGAAAGCTAATAAAACAGCATTGCCAGTCACTAATATAGTAAGCACACATGTTGAATCCTGGAAAGAGATGTCGAACCCCATACCTTGGGCAACGACTCCATGTACGCTCTTGGGATTTCCATCTCAGCAAGCACACTACTATTAATCGCCATGGCTGCCTTCAATATCTGGTTGCAGCAGTCCCTACACTGCTGCAATTTCTTCCTTGTTTCAAAGGACAACCCATTTGGCGGAACTTTAGGATAAGGCAGCCACCACTTCTCTTCTTGCCTAATTGAAGGCCTTCCACCAATAAACCCCTCACCCTCTTTCGAATCCCCCAAAATAATCCCCCTGTCAACATAGCAGAACTCTGTCTCACAAAACCCATCTAGCATACCAAGCAGCATTGCGTCAAGCTTCTTAATGGCAGGTAGATTCACATACAAGTCAGAGCGCGGCCGCATTTCCATGACTTCGTATGTCCCCCCACCCGGAAACTGTTGTATCGAAGGCACAAGCTCAACAATTGAATCACTCACACATAACAGCCAGTCCATTTCCCGGCGCCACATTGCCTTTCTCTGTGCTTTCAGCGGCTCTAACCTCCATAATTCGCCAAACACCGTCGCTGTCATTCCAATATAGAAAATTGAGTTCCAAAACAGAACATCAACGTAAAATCGAAAACATGCCGATCAAAATCGCATAAGAATTTGCACCTTCCACAAGGAATGTGACTTACCAGAGAGATTGGTGATGGCATTTGAGATAGCAAGGGCAGTGCAGACTCCTTTTCCTCCTCCTGACATGTCTTCTCCAAGCAGAAGCTTGGCAAACCTCTCCTTCATCATCTCCACTTCTACATCCATAAATAATTAAAATAATTTAAAAAAAAAAGTTAATTATCTTAGATAGAACAGAATCAAATCTCTACAAAATTTTCTCAGCTGGAGCAACAAATTAATGATTATTTTCACTGATTTATCAAGTTGTGAAAATTACTGGACAAAACATTTTCACTACATTTTTCAGCATTTTCCCCTAAAATTAGAAACAAATTTAAACAAAACAAAATATAATACCAGACAAATCAGCATTTCGTTTCTCCGGCTTCTCATCCCAAGCCACCACATCCTTTCCTCCGATCACCGGAAGCATCACCGGCGCCTGAAAGAAGAAATTTCCGCCGCCCGGTCGCGGCGACGACGTCATGGAGCTCGAAGCCCCCTCCGCATCGAACCTCCGGCACGAGAAGCTGCTACAACTCTCCGACTCGCTCACGTCGGCGCTTAAGCTGTAGCTCCCGCATCGCTCGCTCTGCTGGTCCGAGCCGTCCTCCGACGACACACTCCCCATTGTCGTCCAAAGATCCAAAACGAGCGTCGTCCGTAGAAGCTCAGATCTCAGCCTCACATTCGCTGCCCTGAAGCCTACCGCAGGGGATAAGAAAAACAGAAGCAGCAGCACTCACGTGGTCGGAAGATTGTTTGCAGAGCAAAGAAACTGAGAAGTGATGGATAAAAAAGTGCTTCCAGGTTTTCTCACACCACACTCTTCCACTCTCTCTCTCTCTCTCTCTCTCCCTCCCTCTCTAGAAATGCTAGTGCAATGGGATTGTCCACAGTGGGGTTGATGATGAAGGAGATAATGATGAGGGAGAGGTCCCAAAAAGCAAAAGTGACGCCGTTTGGTCTGCAGAGCTTGGGCACCCGACACGGTTCTTTTTCCGCGGGACCCACCCTTTGCGGAATGAGGATTTACTGTGCTCGCGTGACGTGGCGCTTTTCGCTAACGTTTAAGGGTATGTGGTGGGACCTGGTTGGAACAGGGAGGGAATTCAGAAATTTCGCGTGGGAATGATACCAAACGGCGGTTAGAGGTAACTGGAGTGTTTTGTTTTCTTGTGTGGGGGAGAGTTACGGTGTGGACGTCCGCGGTTTGCTTTCCGTGTGCTCGCATCACTAAGATGACGATTATTATTCTCGTTTGACGACCTCGTTTTCAGTGTACAACTCGTTAATTGCAGTCATTAGTAATTCGTTGTTCTGGGTAATTACTTTATTAACAATTTATTTCCGTGTAATTTATTAGTATTCACTAATAATTACAAGGTTCTAAATTCTGAACAGACTCACATTTTGAATTGAATGGTACGATCTAGACCGTTGATTTGTTTTTGTCATACGAGTGAGTCCCGCATGACCATGCCGGAGGGAATCTCCTTGAGCGGCCGACAAGTTTGAGTCGTCCGACATGGTGTAGCCAACAAGGTATCATATAGGAGTTCGTATGGGTAGTATACAATGTTATACAAAGACTATAATGATACGCTCACTTAAGAGATGAAATATTTTGGGTTAATCTCAGTTTATTATTTTAAAGTTTCTTGATTTTCAATTTTTAGTACATAAATTTTTTTTTGGTCTTATTTTGGTATCTAAAGTCATAATTTTGGGACACTTTCATACATCCGTTAAATTTTCCGTGAGAACTTTCGTTTAATGATGATGTGGCGCCCACGTAAACAATGACTGTATGCCACATGTCAATATGGGCCCACGTGAATATTAAAAAAAAATTTAAAATTCTAGGCATCCTACCTCACCCCTCCCGACCCTTCCCTCATTCTCCCTCCTTTATCTTCCCTTGACCTAACCCTCTCCCCTGATTTCTTTCCTCTACACCCACTCAACCTCTACCCTACCCACCCCTAGTGGCGGATCTACAGAGGGACCTGGGAGGTCCCAAGACCCCTCGGCTACCCTAAATCACTGCTAGAAATTTTTCGGGGGTCCCCTCATACTTGAACACAAGGTCTGTGTTGTTGTAGCGAAGAAGAAGACAGCGCGAGGAGAAGAAAGAAAATAGGGACCATTTTTAACAATTGGTCCAAAACGGCAATGTTTTGGCCAATTGTTTTAATTTTAAAAAATAAAAAATAAAACAGTGAAACAAAACGTTGTCGTTTGTCTATGACTCCATATTGTTTTAAAGCCTAGCCCCACATCTTTCCCAAGAGTCCCCTCTTTCCCCACTCATTTGCTTTTCCGCCAATGCCCTTTCTTATATTCACCCAAATTCCAATGCAACTCCCCAATTTTAAAACCCTAAATTTCTAATCTCACCCAATCCCACATTATAATTACATTACTCCAATATCATACCTCCACTTGCTTCAATTCTCCACGCCACCACTATTTGGTTCAAAATTCAAGTAAGATTTTTGGTATTCTAATCTAATCTCAATTAAATTATATTAGATATTGATGGAGATTTTTATTGATATGATTGTTGATATGTTTTATGTTTGTATACTCATTTTATCTTTGGAATTTAGATGGAAATTTTGTTTATTGGTTAATTGGTATATGTTTTGTGTTTTTGGTTAAATGTGTAGTTTAGAAATAAGAAATATGGAAAGATTTTTCAAGCCAAAGCCAATAGCACCATCTATTTGTTTGGGTAGTTTGAGCTCAAGACAAAATGAGTGTGACATTGATTTTAATAATCTTGAGAGAGACCTGGGAAAAAAGAATTTGAATGAAGAACTATCCTTCTAATATTCAAGATGAGGTCTGACTAGCATATTTGCAAATGGGACATTGTAGGCCTACAAAGCATGAGTTCCCATACACTTTGCATGCAAAGAAAAGCGACGATTTGTTGTTTTGTGGTTTGAAGAATATGATTGGTTGGAGTATAGTATATCTAAAGATGTGACATTTTGTCTTCATTGCTATCTCTTTAAAATCAACTTTTTACAATTAGGAAGCGATGCCTTCACTGTGGAAGGCTTTACGAAACGAAAGAATGCAAGAGAATGTTTTGACAAACATGTTGTCCTATTGGTAGTTTCCACAATAAAGCTAGAGAAGCGGCTAGTTATCTAATGAACCAAAAGACACATATTGAAGCAATTGTGATCAAACTCCAGAAGAAGAGTGTATGAAATATCGTCTTTGCTTGAATGCATCAATAGATTGTACTAAGTTCTTGTCGCAACAAGGCCTTCCTTTTCGTGGCCAAGATAAAAATGACACTTCGAATAATAGGAAGAATTATTAAGAGCTCTTGCAATTCCTTGCAGATCATGATGAGAAAATAAAGGAAGTTGTGTTGGAAAATGCTCTGGGAAATCTCAAGCTAATAGCTCATTCAATTAAAAAAGATATTGTCAATTCATGTGCCTTCAAAACCATTAAGGCTATTATGAAAGAAGTGAAAAAGAGTAAATTCTTTTCTATAATGGTAGATGAATCACATGATATTTCAACAAAAAAGCAAATGGCGGTGGTTTTGTTATGTGAACAACAAAGGTCAAGTAATTGAAAGGTTCATGGGAGTTCAACATGTTACCGAAACTACTTCAAGTAAACTAAAGGAGTCCATTGATGAGTTCTTCAAACTACATGATTTGAGCTACTCCAACCTATGAGGTCAAGGTTATGATGGCGGGAGTAAATGAGAGGTGAGTTCAATGGCCTTAAAAAAAATTTGGATGAAGAAAGTTGTGCATTCTATGTTGATTATTTTGTCATCAACTATGATTAGCTCTTGTTGTCGTAGCAAAGAAAAACTCCGATGTTGCCGCTTTTTTCACATTGAATAATAGTTTGATTAATGTTGTTAGATGCTCATGTAAGCATCGCGATGCACTTAGAGAGAAACAACAAGAAAATCTCATGAAAGATATTGAAAATGATTGTCTTGAAACGGGGTAAGGGTTAAATCAAGAAACTAGTCTCAAACGTGCTAGGGATACACTGTGGAATTCACATTATGGTGCTTTGATTCGTTTGATTACACGGTGGATATGCTTGACATGATTGTTGAAGATTGCTACAATGATAGTGTTGGTGAAGCAAAAAGGTTATTAAAAGATTTATAATTTTTTAGTTTGTGTTCCTCCTCGTTTTGATGAAATCTATATTAGGAGTTACAAATGATTTGTCACAAGCATTGCAAAAGAAAGATCAAGAGATTGTGAATGCAATGGCTTTAGTCAAGGCATGTAAAGAACAACTACATTGCATGAGCAATGATGAAAATTTTGATCTTTTGGTTGATAAAGTATCATCTTTTTGTGTTGAACATGAAATTGAGGTGCCTAATATGGATGATTCATATGTCATTCAAGGGAAGTCATTGCGTAAGACTCTAAGAAAGACCAATCGTCATCATTACAAAGTGGAACTCTTTTTTTAGGTCATTGATCGCTTCACTGAAGGTAATACTGAATTGCTTATTTGCTTGGTATGTTTGAGTCCGAATGATTCATTTATACCTTTTGTTAAAGAAAAGCTTGTTCGCCTTGCTCAGATGTATCCTAAAGATTTCGCGGATCGAGATAGATTGACACTTCAAGATCAACTTGATATTTATATTCATTTTGTGCGTTCTAATAATGATTTTTCTCAATTGCGGGGAACTAATGATCTTGCTAAGAAAATGGTGGAGAAAAGGTTGCATCAAACATTTACCTATGTATATTTGCTTGTTCAGTTGACTTTGGTTTTATGAGTTGCAATCGCTTCAGTGGAGTGGGCATTTTCAGCTATGAATATCATTAAAGGTCAACTTTGCAACAAAATGGGAGATCAATGGGAATGACAGCTTAGTTGTTTACATTGAGAAATATATTTTTTCATGTATTGGTAATGAAGGTATCATGGAACATTTTCAGACTATGAAACCTCGTTGTGCATGCTTGAATTAGGATTTTATAGCTTGTAAAGTTGTTTTGCATATGATTTTTGAATGAAATGTATTATATTTAACTTTTCAATGTTATTTTTGTCTATAAATTTTTTGACCTTTATTATTGGGACCCCCCGAGTTTAAAATTCTGAATCCGCCACTGCCCACCCTCACCCTCTTCAATCCCCTCCCTTCTTTCTCATCCACCCTCTTCACCCAATTCCTCCCATCAGATCGTTCATCGTTGTATTTGAAACCTCCAAACTCGTCGCTGTCACCAAGGCCTTCAAGATCAAGATCATTTAGCGATCGAGACGGTGATTCGTTATCTCCGAAGCGGCGATCCGCTACTGGCTCTGTTGATCCACTACCACCCGCGATTAACCTTCGATAACACTGACCCATCTGTGTGGCGGCGAGGCCTGCGTCATACCTAGATAGGTGGAAGAGGAGTGGGTAGATAGGTGGGTGCGCAGGGAAGGTGGGTGCAGATGAGAGAATGGAGGGAGAATAAAGGGAGAGGGTCGGGGGTAAATGGGTGGATGTGCGGGGAGAGTGGATGTAGGGAAGAAAAGGAAGGAAGGAAGGGTGAGGTAGGGCCCAAATTTTTTAAAAATAATTTTTAATATTCATGTGGGCCCCATATTGACACGTGGAACCTAGTCATTATCCACTTAGGTGCCACATCATCAGTTAATGGAGGTCATGACGAGAAGCTTAATGGATGTATGAAAATGTCTCAAAATTATGACTTTAAGTACCAGACTGGGACGAAAAAAACTTCATGTACCAAATGTTGAAAATCAATAAACTTTAAAGTAATAAACTGAGATTAACCCAAACATTTTTCAGTATGGTAGGAACATGACTCAGTACACATCGAAACACTACCCAGCATATCATATGTGATAATACAATTGGTTAGAA